ACAATATGGGTAAAGATAAAACACAGAATAACACATTTTGTACTAAGAGAGCATCTAAGGAAAAAATATTTTCCACTAGAAGCGCAACTGGAGAAAAGCTAATGAAGTATTAAGAGGGAAAAGCTGATTTTTAGACAGTGAATCAACAGAACATGCAACTTGGCTAAGCAAAGAGTAAGGATGGTGGGGCAGGAGAGGGGAAAAGGGTGGTGGATAACTGTCTGAACCACTGAGACTCATGTAAACATAAAAAGGGAGGAGAACATTATTTAGCCTGGTACAGCAAGTATATACAAGTAACAGGATAACTTAAAAGTCTGAGCTAAAGATCAGGAAAAACTTCCTGACTACAGGATCCTGCAGATTGTTGTTCAGTCTCCTGAGGAAGTGGCAAGAGCTTTAGCCTCTGGAGATACTTAAAATTAGAATGGACAGGGTACTAGAAGGCACACTGTAAGAGAAAAAACCAGCTCTGCTCAGGCAGGAAAGTCACTAAAGGAAAAGCGGGACAGAAGAAAATAATATGCATAAAGAGACAATAATTTAAAGTAAAAAGTGAGGGACTTGAGAACCAGAAAAGCTAAGTTAAAAGCTTGGGTCTGTCCTTTCCAATTTTATAATCTTGACTTAAACTCTAGGAATTGCCTAAAGTGTAAAATGGTAATTTATCTTATGATGAGTAAAAACATTGTGAGGACATTATTACATACTTGAAAGTATTTTACTCAAAAGGAAAACAAAATTTGTAATTTTGCTGATTTTAAAATTTCAGTTCAAATGTCTCTATTCTGAAAACTCTTCTATTAAAAAAGAAAGGAGCATGTCTTCAAAAGAAGCTTTAAAAGATGAAACCAAGTGTTAACAGATGAGACCAAATGAAGTTAAGCTCCTTGTTCCTGAGAAAGCAGCATGGTCGATTTCTAGAAGATAGGTAATTATATGGTACGAAACATTTCTAGTAACTTTGTCAGACAGCCATGACATAAAAGAGTCTCTCCAACTGCCTCTGAAAAACCATTAAAATATCCTGCTGTGTCTGGGTATCAGCTAGGTGGGCAATCCCACCCATTTCTAGATGGTTTTTAGAAGCAAGCACTTATATTTACTTGAAGATTTTCTAACTTCTCCCTGGAATCAGAATGCTCCACAGAAAAATATGTAAAAATCTATCATTTAATGTCTGCCTCAAATTTCATTTCTTAAACTGAAAATTCAAGCTTACTTTTAAAAAATCCTTTATGTTACCTCAATGTTATATACTGCATTTTAACAACTGGAAACTACAAATGTGTCAAGGAGTATTACCACATTAACATTATTTTTGTAATGATTCAAATAAAGGTTCTCGTCATCTCACTGAATAAATACGAACATCTTATAAATGTGCCATTAATCAGGAAGACCTGAACATTTACTTCAGACTCTACATGTTGACTCATGTAAAACTACAAGTGAATGTACTGTTGCATACCGCTATGAATCAGGATTTTATACTGAAAAACTAGAAAAGACACATAGATTTGAATCCAAAACTAGCACTGTGATCCTGATCCCCAATTTTAATTCTGTACTTATCAAATGACCGACTTCACAAGGAAAAGCAAATGTTACAAGTAATTTCACCTTGCAGATGATTCAGGCAGCCTTGAAAACAGCACACATACAGTTTTCGGTTTTGTCTTTCACTCAGAAGGATTATACCACAACGCTGAAAGAGGTTATCATGAACGGAAATGCTAATTACCGAGCATATGAACAGTTTACAGGTTTACACACTTAATTGACAAGTTTGCTTAAATTACACAAGCTTAAAGTTGAACTCTGTGCTAAGAAAATGCCAAATTTGATTTATCTGTAAACTGAAAACAACAAAATCCCTAAGACCCAGACAACCTATTACTTCAAGTCCCTTGTACCAAAATCCTATCAGTACCACCCCTGAAAATTCACTGTTCTAGAATCTAGCTGGAAATCATCCATCCAGTCCACTGAAAAGGCAGTCAGTCTCTCCTTTCTCTCTCTCAAAAGAAATTCCCACTGCCACAGGACCCCTAAACTCTGAGGAACAGAAGAAAAGCATATAGGAGGATTGGAAGCAATTAGGATATATTTTAGGCCTAAATATAGCAAACTTAAGAGAAGCAATCAGGTACTTCTACCACTTTGCCAGCACCGATTCTAAAAGTTGAAAACTAGTCTCCAGGTCTCACAGAGGTACAAAGCAAGACACTGAATGGTATTCATTAACTGCTTAGATTTTTCTTTTTTAATGTTCAGCTATACTACAGAAGAACAGTAATTACCATGAACATAGTTTGGGTTTTAAATTGATGACTACACCTTTAAAAAAGGGGTGGGGGATCTGGGAACTAGAAAATGAAGAGGAAGAGAAGGGAGTAAATGCATGTGTTAATGTAACTGTAAAATAATAACAGGATATAACAGAGTTCTGAAGTATCCAAAGTGACCAATCAGAGCCTAAATGTAGCTGAATTCCATCCCAGCCCCAGCACGTCTCTAACACAAGAATAAAACCCTTCTTATCTTGTTCAGCCATGTGTCGCCTGCCACAAACTGCAAAACAGAACAACGCCCAAAACCAGCTAGTCTGATTTCAGCTGAGGACAGACAGACTCTGTAGTCAGAAGCACCACAATGAAAGAGCTCTAACTCTCACAGCTGGCCTGGTGGGTCTGCACACTCTACAAAACAAAGCCATACCACATACAGTACTTCAAACTTGAAAAGAACTTTAAAAAGCTGCACTGCCATTGTTAATTTGCCAACAGCTCTAGAATCAGCAAAATATACCTTCAGTACGCTGGCTGTCAGTGTAAAAAGAGCATGAGATTGGTAGGACTGCGAAGTTACAAACTATTGTAATTTATACTCTCAACTTGGTTACGGCATCCTGGCACAGAAATTCTACTAAACCAGTACTTCCAGATTTCACCCTAACATATATTCAAATCAAAGACAACAACTCTCCTTAAGAGCAAATGAATGCTTGATGCTTATGGAGAAAGATGTGTTTAAAGAAAATGTAATGATCACATAAGAATAGTTCTTGTAAAAAAAAAAAAAGTAGTGGTAAATTCCTAAGAAACAGGTATCCATACTGTCCCAGCAATGCACATTAAATTCAGCTTTTAAAGTTTTTTCTTTTAAAAAAATAAGTAAAATAAGGAGCACCTGAACTAACTCAAGGCTATTAGTACCCAAACCAATCTGCAGATTCATCTTATACTTAGAATACTCATCTTTCAATGAGTGCCTAGCACAGTATCTGGCAAAGAACAGGAATTCATTAGTTGCATGCTTATTGTATATACTTTTTTCTTATCTAAGTTATAAAAAGGATACAAATCCCAGTATTTTATTTCCACGATAATGGAAAGAGGAAGAAAATCTCTGAGAAGCAAAGAGGAAGGAAAGTTAGTACAGGGTGGGGTGGGGGCTTCTAGGTGATCTTTGCATGTTAACGGGCTGGTGACCCTGGGTTCTGTCTCTACAAAAGTAAACACCTACAGCATCCCAATGAAAACTACCGACACTACACTAGCTCCTAATAAGACCTCTTGTCTACCGGCTCCAAATGAAGGCAATTGAATGAACTAGAAAAACAATTACCCACATATCTTTGGAAGAGATTTCTCAGAAACAAAACACCCTGAAAGGAAAAAAGAATGGGGGTAACCAGAAGAAATCAAGATAAACATTGTTGCTACTCATGTTTAATGTCCACTCAGGGACACGCTAAACATTAAAATGCATTAAAAAATACACAAAGAATATAGTTTAAATATTTAATGGAATCTTGTAGGTGAATATCCACGTGACACTGGAAAGCACCGACAGGAAGAGGAAGTCCTGCTTCTGGAGTAGCTGATAAAGGCATTTGGCCCTTTCAAAATCAACAAATGAATCTTACAAGTGGGTGAAATTCTTATAAGGAAATTCAACTACTTTCTGCAGGAGCACTATTTTTGCGCTTTTTGTCGAAGTGCTTTCTTTGGCCCCCTAATTCAGTTATTTGATCTTTTTGTTTAATGACGTAATAGTTTGAAGGTTGACTCAAATAAAAAAAAAAAAAAAAGCACAAAGTAGTTTACTGAAATTTGAAACCAGAATACAACGCTGTGATTAAATTGAGACATAAAATGTACGAAAGGAATTTATCATTTAACCTATATTCCAAAGAATAACTCTTACGAGTAAGGGAACTCCACTTTAACCACAAATCACTAAAAACTACCAGGCAACACAGGTAAGTACTAAAAAGGACTCACAGAACTCAACAATTTCACCTGCCATGCTTGTATTATTTAACTCGCTCATGATTTTGTAGCCCTTAAATGCAAATGCTTCTGGAAGATGAAGTACGAAAACGCAATCATTCAAATCAAGCCCTCGCCCTTTTTCTCCCCTAAGCTCGTTGATCTTGCCCCTAGCAACACCCCCCTCCCCCGATTTACCGATGATTTCAACATCATGGAAAATAATTAGTTAATAAACACTACTCAGGTGGATACTTAAAGGAAATCAAGTTCATAAATCATCGTCCAGCAATCTCAGAATGAAGGTCACCAACAGAAATTCCCAAAATGCGTCTGGAGAACTACAGGACAGGAATTAAAACTGATGATGCCCCTGTACCGCAGCCGACTTCGGGCACTGACCTTCACCCAAAATGACCTTCCTCCGGTTCCAGGGCAAGCACAGAATCCTAATGCACACTACAGTCAGCAAACCACAACCGTGGTTCTACCTACCCCTTCTCTGAGAATCTGGATTAAAGTTTCTCTAGAAAAAACTACAATTCCAAATCCAATTAGCGGGCAAGTTGGCAGCAGCCCCAGACTAACTGCAGAGCTCCTCAACAACCCTCTCCTCCTACGCCTGTCAACGTCACTGGGCAAAGGCAACGAGCGATCACTGACTCCCCTGCTGGGTCGGGCCGAGTCCACGGAAGCCAAGCGCAAGGGGAGCTTCATACCAACCTGTCGGTGATAGTAGACTGTGTGCCACTCATTGGGGCCCTTGGCGAGAGGTCCTCCTTTTATCCAACTTGCATTTTACAGTAACACCCCCACCCCACCCCCAGTGCTCTGGGATCAAGCCCGACTCCGTAAGGGACACAAAAGTCCACCTCAAAACTCCATTCAGTCATCGAGAACGTCCGGCTGGAAGGGGTCAAGGAGGGGATGTGGGTTGGAGCAAAAGAAGGTGTCTCCCAAAACAAACCGAGAAAGTCCGCCAGAAGGCGAGTTCTAGAGCTGGAGATCAGTCCTTGGGAAGGCACAGGGAGAAAACTTGCTCTCGGAGGGACGCCGGCGAGCCGCGGGAAGGGGCTCCGGGACTCCCTCCGAGGCCGGGGCGGGATCGGTGCCGGCTCCCCCTCCGCAGGCTCGGGGGCCCGCGAGTCCCCGCCGCCGCACGGCCCGGCCCTCTGCTCTCCGCGCTCTATCTGGGGCTGCCGGCCGCTCGTGGCCGCAATCGCGGCAGCGTCTCGGGCCGTCCCGCGCCAGGCTCGCGCGGCTGCATGGCCCCGGGCCGGGGGGCCCCTCTCGTCTTCCTCGCCGCCCCCACCGGGCTCCGGGCCGACCGCGGGAGCTAGGGGCGGGGGGCCCGCAGCCCGAGGTGACAGGAACCTGGCCTCTCAGCGCCGCGGGTCGCTCCCCATCTCTCCTAGGCCCGGACTCTTCCGCAGTCGGCAGCGGCGGCGACGGCTCCTCCCCGACGCGCCGGCAGGCGCCTGTTCCCGCGAGGAGCGGGAGCGTCCCGTCCGGCCCGGCCTGGAAGCCCCGGCAGCGGCGGCGGCGGCGGCTCGGAGCACAGGGCCGGCGAGCCGGGTCCGGGGGGCCCTGACGGGAGCGCGCGCGCCGAGCGGAGGAGGCCTCGGGCGGTGGGGGCCGCGCGACAATCGCAGGCGCGCGCACGGGTTCCGGTTCCGGTTCTGCCTTCCCGGCCCCGGCCGCGTCCAGCGCGCGCGCGCGCGCCCGCCCCCGCCTCCCCCGCCGACTTTTTGGGCCTCTCCCTCGGACTTCGGGGAGCCGCCTCACGCGGGATCCCTCCGCGGCGCTCGGATCGTCGTCGTTCTCGCCGCCCCTCGCGTGTACGCCTCCGCTGGAGTCTGGCTCGGGGGGCGAAAAAGTAGTTCTCCGTGGCGGAGGGAGGTGGGGGGCCGTCCGGCTCCGGGAGCCCCACCCACCGCCCCACACCGCCACTCTCGGGGCGCCCTGAAGGCCAGGGGTCTGTACTTGGGAGTGTAGCTTGTGTTACCTCAGCTCCATCAGAGACCGCCAAGAGGCACCCCCCTAATCCCGAGTTCAGGGTGAGACGCTCTTGGCAAAGTCCCCGTCCCCTTGTCCTGGAAACTTGTATTCCATAAGGGAAGGTACTTGTTTATTTTCTGATAACAAGTACAGACTTGCTTTGGACCGGTGCAGGCGAACTCAGCTCCAGGTGCCCGGACACCGTCCCTCTCTTCTGCAGCAAAGCCCAGCCGAGAATTTTGGCCATGGCCGCTCACCTGGGGCACCTGCTGGCCTCGTCCCAGGACAGGGGCCGCGGCGCGCGAGTCCTGGCTACGAGGGAGGGTGGGCGGACAGAGGTGTGCAGGGCCGGGGAGGAAGAAACTGGGAACTGGGGCCAGGATTCCTTAGTATAATTGCTTTTAGGCTGCTTCTGCCTTGGCAAAACGAAATGTAGTGTTTGCCAAATGGAGAAAGCATGGTGCTTACCACAACAATTTAACAAGCTTGCTATGGAAAGAAATGGGAGCAGAAAATAAAAGTGTATTTATCCAGTAAATAGCATTACTGTTCTCTTTGAAGAGTTCCCAAATATTTTTGTTTTTGTTTTTTTCCCCTACCAGGTAGGTTTAGATACCTATCTAGTTTTAAGACTGCATAATTCGGTATTGTAGCAAGTAGCACATGTAGTATAGGTCTTTAGTTGTGCCGGTAAATGTAAAAGTAGCTGTAGCGTTATCCAGCTATTTTCAGGCTTGAGTTTAAAACTGTATTGGTGGGCGAGGGCCGTCAGCCTTTTTGGGGAAATCAAATGGCAAAGGAAATCTAATAAACAGTGGACGTGAAGAGGGGAAACAATTACCCTTTTAACAATGCCTTTTCTAAAAGTCAACCCGCAACAGTTCATGAAAGGATCATTATCCCTGAATAGATGCATGAGCTAAGGCTGACGTTAGAACGTGGTAAAAAAAGGAAAAGATAAACAGAGGCCAAAGATGACTCTTTATTGCTTGATTTTCTTTTTTTTTTTTAAGTTCGGCGCACAGCCAGCTAATTTTGTAATGTTTATTTTGGGAAAGAATACAAGCAGATTAGGGTTCCAAGCCACTTTCCTAATGATCGGACCAGGATACATTGCCACCTGCTGGTGTACCCTAGCATGAAAATTCTATCCTGAAAACTTTTAATTGCCTATTTTCTATATATAACTGGAAAGAGCTCCATCTGTCTATATACAATGACCAAAATGCAGACTTTATCCCCAAACTTCCATCTTTCTTAAACATACTAAATATATATATATATATTTTTTTGCCGTATTCTAGTAATTTTACGGTATAGGCACCAAATTAATTGGACCACATGACTCATCAAATCATACATTTTAAAAACGAGTTCCCCTCTTCTCTTCAAGAAGCCTCACTACTTGGGCTTCAGGAATAAAACAGACTGGGAAAGTTTCCTAATTCACCTTCTCTTCCTTGCATACAAAACCTCTTGGCAGGCAGCTTTTAAGACCTTTTCAAACTTAAAACAGACCCAAAGTTCTAGCTGTGGGCAAAGAAGGCATTTGCTGTGGGAAAGCTTCAGAAGACGGTTAAGCAAAAGATTTAATTAAGTCAGTGGTTATTTTTTTCTTAATTGATGAAAATCTCTATATTTACCCACAAAGCTCTAATGCTAAAAAAAATGTCCCTGGAAGCCTCTCTACAGCTGTTGGTAGATCTAGACTGTTCTAAAGGCTCTATCTATAGAGTTGCCTACAGAAGAATCACAGCAAGCTAGGGTGTAACACACTCCCCAGCGTCATTAGTCCCTTACCTAGAAAAATGACTCTGGTGACACAATCCACTGTGCATGGCTATTTGAGGTTTTCCAAGAGTGGATTATTCTAAACCACATCCTCATCCCCTCATCCATTCTTTCAACAAGCTTACAGAGTACCTACTGTATGTCTAACACGGTTCTTTCTAGCTGATGGAGGTACAGTTCCGGAGAGAGCTGAGGCCGTCTTCACAAAGCCCACTTGCCAACATTCTCAAGGCAACTGACTAAACAGGTGGCAAAATAAAAAACTAAGTACGTCCTGTCTCTTCTGGAAAACTTTTCTGTATGTAGATGGTTGTCCCCAAAAGTAAATAATATTAGAATTGGTTGATGACAAGATTAGAGGTATTTCATCTGTAAGTATAAATACACATCAACATTTCTATATGCCAAAAGATTTTTTTTTTTTTTACTTCTTGGCAAAACCACAACAGAGACAAAAAGGTAGACTCTGGGTTGATACAAAGTTGTTTATTTTTATAAAACTTGGTACAAATCTTATTGAAATATAAACCATTCTTGAGCAGTTAGTATTTATTACATTGAAATCCAGTGCAAATGATACTTCCGTTTTGTCCTGCCATATCCTTCATTTACCTGTGATGAAAACCTCAACATCTTAACTGCTGAGTCATGTTCATTTCACATATTTTCTGAGAGGTTCCTTCATAGTACTAGCTATGACATCAAGAAAAGCTAAAATGAAGGATTCCTTCCCTTATCCTTATTTAGATTTCTCTAAATTAAAAAAAAAACCCTACGTATATTTCCATGAGAGTAGCCCCAAAACAACAAGGTCTGCAATCGGCACCAGATTAAGCTACTCATTTGTCTGGTATGGAACAGGTCGCAGTGTGCCAAAATTCAAGAGCCAGCTTTTTCTTTTCTTTTTTTTTTTTTTTTTCTGTTTCTAAGCTCGTGCGCCAAGCCACTCTTTTTTCCTAGGCTTTTGCTAAAATCAGCATTCCCCAGCATCCTGCTTTGACCCCCGTTTTGTTGGGAAAGAAGTTAACCCGCATTTTAGGCATACTGGTCATAGAAAAGAAGAGATGGGAGATGCTACAATCCGATTATTTCCCTGGGCAGCAAAACTCTTTAACCAAATGACAGTCATCTTAAAGGACACACCGTTCACATGCCTTTCAAGTTGCTCTTCCCAGAGCAATAATTTCCCCAGATTTTACACAGTTTCAACCACACTTGCATGCCTGGCCAATGACATCCATTTTCAAGGTGAGTATTACCAGTGACCACATAATGAGCTGACACTTCCTACTGACCTTCAGCCTTGGCTTCAATGGCCCCATACACTCGCTCACCGACTGAGCTAACCAGTCACTACTGATCTAAATGACAATTATCAAATAAATAACAAATAAATAATACTTTCTTTTCCATTAAAGCCATCGTTAAAGACCTCCATTAATATAATGCAACATAGTGTCTCTATGAAATACACAACAGGGGATTTCATTCATTCACAACAGAGTTTAAACTGAGGCAAACAGCAAACAAGTGACTTGTCTAAATGATCTGGCAAGTTCACCATCAAAATTAGTTACAAGAACCCAGCAATTCTTGATTCTTAACCCCTCGTTCTGAGCTTGCATTCTTGCTTTTCCTAGGTGAGATTAGAAACCATCACATTAAGAAACACTTTTTTTTTTCCTTCCAAGGCTGGTCTTAGCCTAATATTTTGTCCATAGAGAGTGGCACCTTTTTCAGAGAAAAGAAAAAGCAGTAAGAGGACTAAAAGGGAATGTGTCTGAAATGAAAGCATGTTAGTCTCATCACCCTGAGGCCAGTACACGCTTTAGTCTTTGGTTCAAGTTTGCAGTATGTATAAGCAGAGCTGAAACCTGAACTGCCATCTCAAGCACAGTGGAATCCACATAGTAAATCCCTATGGAATTTAGTCACAGCCTCTCATGCCTAGGAGATTAAAGCACAAAAGCCCTGAGAACTGGCATGGTTTTCCTGGTAGGGCTGAACCCGTACCACAGGACTCAGTAAATCTGCCCACGCCTCATTCATCTCTCATCCGAAGCTCTAGCCCCAGTTTTTGTGCAGAAAAGAATTGATATTGCAGGC